CTGTTTCAGATTTGCAACTGACCCCAGTGCCCCCTGCCCTTGGGGACAGAGGGACCAATCCACTTTCTGTTCGTCTTCCCTTCCCCCTCCACTCCCTCATAATGAACCTCTTTCATGCCTCAAAACACCGACTCCAGTCCCTGCTCATTACCCTTGTGTGGGATCTGGGACCACGATAAACTCCCCCCACATTTCCTTGAGTCCCTGATGTTTTAAGAAGCACTTGCAGCCAGAAGGATTGAGTCGTCCTCACCTCTAGTCACCTAAGGGAGTGGGGGTTTTTCTTCTGAATTCTGTTTTTAAAAGATTTTGAATTTTTTAAATTAATAATTTTTTTAACTTAAAAATAATTCAGAATTTCTTCTGAATTGTTTTAAAAAAATCTTAAAAACAGAATGTCCTTAATTTTGTAGTATAAAAACTCTTTGAGCATTACATTATCTTAGGTTTTTGTGGTTGTTTCAGGTTTTACATCTAATTTCTAGTCCCCTTACAAGTGTCCTAGCTAGGTTTTACCTTCTTAAAAGTCTTTTCTCTTTTTCCTCTCATATTACTTTCACTCACTCACTCTTCATCTAGTACAAATAAATTCATTTTTCTACCCCATAACTCTAGTGCTGCTTTTCTTTTTCCTGGTTCTCATAATGATCATCCAACTTCTCCATGTTCACTGACACCTTGAAGTCATCTTTGAATTCTTTTTTGCTTTGACATTCAAAGCATTCTGCCTCCCTGACTCCCTTTCCTTCCCTCCCTGTCTCAGCAATTCAGTTCAATTTGTTTGTGTTCATTCTATCTATCTCTGCCTCCCTGCCTCCCTCCCATGTGCTCACTTTGTGTCAGGCACTGGGGACATAGAGATGAAATGGCAGTGTAGAGAGGGGCAGAATATATAAATAAATAAATAACATGCAATTAGATATGCACAGGGCATGGAGGTGGTAAAATGAGAAACTGGTTAGTGAATAGGAGTTGAGAAGAATGTGTTAGCAGGAGAGCTAGACACACTCCCAGCAGAAGGAACACTGTACACAGTCATGGGGGTATGTTAAAGCATGATATATGCAGGAAGCATGATCATATATATCATGATATATGATATTTGCAGGAAGTTCCAGGTCTTGGCATACTGTTGGAGCATCAAGTTAGAGAATCTGGTGACAGGGCAGGGATTGGTGAGAGTTTGGTCTGCAGTGGTAGGCAGGGGCTAGGTCTCAACAGGCCTTATATGTTATCTGAAGACACGCAGGCTCATCTAATGGTCCTGGGGCTCCACTGAACTGTTTTAAGGAAGGGAGTGACATGGTCAGATTTTATTTTGGAGAGACAGCTTCGCAACACTGTTGAGAATGGATTTCATCAGTGACTATCCAAGTCAGGGAGGCCTTTGTAGGGGATAAGTCAAGGAATGATGAAGGCCTGAACCAAGGCTGTGCTACCAGGGAGGAAAAAGACACACTCAAGAGGTATTTTGGAGGTATGATTGGTAGGAGTGAATGCTGGGTCAGAGAAGGAATGTGTGGATGACACCCAGGTCTCTGGCTTGAGAAAGTAGGTGTGTGGGAGTGCAGTGACCTCACTCAGTCCTTTCCTGTTGTATTGTCCATCCTGTGTCAGGCTTATGTCAGCTGCCTCTGCACTCCATTCTGTTTACACTGCATAAATCCGGCCTTCATCTCTTGCCTAGATTCTTGAAGTATCCTCTTAATCTCTTTTGTCCATCCTGTGTCAGGCTTATGTCAGCTGCCTCTGCACTCCATTCTGTTAACACTGCATAAATCCGGCCTTCATCTCTTGCCTAGATTCTTGAAGTATCCTCTTAATCTCTTTCAATCCATCCTATATACTGCTGCCAAAGTAATCTTCCAGAGCAGCTCAGCATGAATCTTCAGTGGTTTCCCATTGCATATTGAATAATGTCCAAATTCATTAGCCTGACTATCAATATTCATTGCTAGAGGAGAAGGGCTCTTTTCCCTTACAGAGTCCAATTTTTAGTAGAGGATGAAGCATATCAAATGTGAAGTAACTGAATGTCAAATGGTCTTTAAAAGGGGTGTAGAATTTCAACTCTAAGGGGAAAGAAGAAAGGAGGCGAGGTATCTCCTAGGGGTGACCCAAGGTGATCTGGTCTGTTCCCATCATGTCTCTCCAGGTATATCTTTCACTTCTCCCCTGCACCTGTGCTCTCTGGTCCATCCAGACTGGTCTCATTGTGGCCTGAAAATAACCCTTTTTCCCTCCTGGGTAGACTCCATTGCCTTTGCCTGGAATATTTTCCCTCACGTTTCTGCCTGTTGAAATTCTACACGTCTTTGAATATCCAGCTCAAATGCAGCTGCATTGAATCCCCTACCCAGAAGGGACCCTCCGAAGCACTTGACCTTCCTTACGGCACTTTGTACATTTGACTGTGTACAGCACCTAACATGTCTTATATTTTATCTATCTCACTAGATCACTAGACTGGGAGCAGAAATGGAAAACTGGAGGCCTCGGGCCTGGGTCCGGCCTGCAGGTGTATTTTTGTAGTTTGCACATTTTTTCCCCCATCAGAATTAATTCATTTAAAAAACTATAACCTATGTCAAACATACAGAAAAGTTCAGAATATGAGATAATCTATTGTTGGGACCTATCACCAAGAATGAGCAGATTTTCCGCTGACACGTCACCACCTGCTTTTTAAGAAATAAAATATCACATATACAATTTGAGTGCTAGCCCATGTATCCTTCTCCTGGAGCTGCTCTTTACACTGTTTTTAAAATTTAGACTTAGTTGCCAATATTTAGAAATCAAGAGATTCACATAAAAATTGGCCCTCCGCCACTGTTCTGCCAGTTCTTAGGCAGCCATCACCCTCTGGCCAGCTCCATCTCGGCCCTCTGAGGCGCCCTGGTTAAGTCCCCGTACCTGAGTTTGGCACCTGCACTACCTAATCTCCCTTCCATAAGCACTTCTCACCTGGCGGGCCATCCTCCTCTCTGCCTGTCGCTCTCCTCCCCTCTCCCACCTCCACACCACCCTCTTCTCGCACCACTGCTCAGGCTGTCCCCCTGCCCGGACCCCCCCACCCCTCACCCCTCTACCCAAGTCCCAGGAATCCTTCAAGGCCTAGTGCAAGTCCCACCTGCTCCATGACGCTTTTCGCGGTAAGGTCAGCTCAGCTCCAATCTCTGTACTTGTAGATACATAGCACTCAACCCCGTGACCGAGCACTTACGCGTGCTTTCCTTCACTCCCTTCCACGTGCTCTGCAGAGTCACCAGGTGACAGGGAAGGGACGGGAAGGTCCAGGCTCCTTCTCCCCTCCGAGCCTTTGCTGCCCCCGTGCGGTGCATCGCGTGCGGTGCACCCGGGTTTGGGTGCAGGAGCTCGGACCTCCTGGCACCGGAGTCCTGCGCCCACGGTTACGCTGGGATGGCGACTTTGCTGGTCAAAGCATTCGAGGCGTTTGTGCTTATTCAGTTGCGACCTCCAGCGAATCCGATCCCCTCTTCTCTTTCTCCGTTCGCCTCTTGGACACAATGCTCCTTCCCTTCCCTTCCCTGTGAGCGTGTCTCCGGTGGGTGCACAGGTGTGGGACTTCACTGGGCTAATATCGAGGCCGAAGGGCTCTTGTCCCGAACTCCACCACCCCCCTCTCCCTCCCATGCTATTGGCACAAACATTCGGGAGCTGTGCACGCCTGACCAGAGCGGGACAGGCGCTGGCTCTCGGGGTCGCGCCGCGGAGGGGGCAGCGGGCGTCCCCTTCTCACGTGACCCCTCGAACGGCGCCATCTGTTCCCTGGGGACCCGACGGCGGAGGGAACCTGCTGCTCTGGGCCGGCGTGTGTCCCCTCCTTCAGAGTCAGCGCTTAAACTCTCTGCTTTGCGGTACCCAAATTGGACTAATGAATGAGCTGTAAATTCCGCGGCTGAGGAGGAGGCCGTGCTGGAGGGGGCGTGACTCTTGTCCCTACGTGAGGACGGCAGGGCCACCCCGGGTCTCGGGAGGCGGCTCCCCCGTCGCACTGCGGCCCCCACAGCCACCTCCCGCCTGCTGCGGGGCATCGTCCCTGGGGACGCTGATGGGGTTTGACGGTTGATTGTCCGGTCGCTTAGTGACTGTGCCATCCTGAGGTCCCCAGCGTGTCGTGATTGGCCCCCTCTCCTCGGTGAGAGGGAGAAGACTGAGAGGGCCCGTGGAGAGGAGAGCTGGAGGGGAAGGAAAGAAGGAAAGAGGCTGGGGAGGTCGAGGCGTACGGGAGGAGAGGATGCCAGTTAAGGGAGAGGGGTCGAGGAAGAAGGAAGGCACAGGAGTGGAGTCCGGAGGTGGCAGAGCACACTTCTGCTCTTTAGGCTGAGTAGGAGGTAAATGGGGGGGGGGGTAATTCACACCTGTCCCCTTTACTTTCCCAGGAACCCATGGTGTGGCTTCATTGTGTCATCTGAAAGGCCCAAATGTGGGGTTATGAATTATGTACCAGAACGGCCAGCACCTCTCTCCAGGTGTGTTCTAGAGACCTTCAGGGAAACTGGCATTGCAGGTGGAGGTTGGATCCATCTTTGTTCCTCCCTGCCCTGCCCAGGGCCAGATGGTGGGTAAGGTGCACAAACCCTCCCAGACGCCCCTCAGGGGTTCTCCTGGGTTCCGAAGTCTCCTGCACAGGACTGAGCAAGAAGGAGGCAGCCCAAGGGGGCTGGGGCTTTTAAGTCTGTCTTCCTGGTGGACTGACCTAGCCACTTCCAGCTAGTGTGACTGTGAACAAATTTCTTCATCTAAAGTGGGAATAGTAATCCTAACTCATAGTTTCTGGTGAGGTGATAGGTTCAACCTCTTGTATATGTCTGAGACATAGTAGGTGCTTAGCCAATCTCAGTTCCCACCTTCCCTCCCTGACGACCACTCTGCCCACCCCAGTTCCATGCTACTTTTCTAAATTGGAGATGGTGATACCTGGTGATAAAAAAGAAAGGAGGAAAGTACATATTAATGAACATAAGCCACACCTCTCTAGATTAGGCATCAAAACATTTATTGTTCTTTCACTAAGCTGTCTGAAGGATTAAGAATTTTTAAAAGAAAAGAAATGCTTTAGCATTTAAGAGAAGAAATGGTACTAATGGGCAAAACTCTAAGTAAAAAGAAGCCCTGAATAGTTCAGAACCAGCAGCTGAGATGTTGGTAACGGCAGCTGAAGCAATTCCACGTGTCTGTCCTCTGGTTGATGGTTAGGGCAGAAAGCTTCTGGCTGGGCCAGTGACTGGGAAGGTTTCGGGTGACATGAGGAAGACAATAACTTAGCCATGGTGTAAAAGGGAGGCAGTAGGACCTGGGCTCGTGCCCATGTCACTTTCTGCATGAAGCCAGAAGGGGAGAGCTTGACAGACATCTCCTAACAAGACCCTTATCCGCATACCTGTCACCTCGGGTTACTGAGTCTTGGTTTTCAGGGTCTCCTTGTGCTGCTCCACCAGGGAACCAATCCACTCCGTGGTTTTCTGCTTGGCTTCCTCCCAACTGAAGAGGGGCTCGTATCCCAGATCTCGCTGAGCTTTCTTGTAGGTGAAGGTGAACACACTATTTGACAATGTCACTAAGTGGCGGTTGAAAGGGGGTTGATATTTGTAAATTGGACTCAGCAGGAAGCTCACTATTTCCAGTAGGAAGGCAATCCAATACTTCAGAGATAAAGGGAGGCTCATTCTGGAATCAAGGCTAAGGCCCCATTCTCTGCTCAGAGTGTAATTCAAGTTATCATAGCTTTGGTGAGGTGTGTCATCTGAGATGTTCATTTTAAATCCAAAAAATCAGGAGGCCGTACTCTCAGAATATGGACAATCCTAGTTCTTAGCCAAAAAAAGACAGTTGAGGAATTCACATCACACATGCATACACACAGCTGTATATAGGCAATATACACTCTTAAACGTACATTCAATTGCTTGTATTTTTCTCCTTTTGTTGAGGACCAGTAAAAGATTTGCCTCAAGGACTATTCTTTGAGTCACTGAACAAAGAGTCAGTGAGTTGTGGGGACATGCTGGAGACCCACACTCTGTTGCTGGTTAAGTGTTCTCTGCGAAGGCCAGTGTGACTCCGTTTACCCAGTTATGAAAAGTAGGGGTGATTAACCACCTTCTACTCAGCCTTCTGGAGCCCTGCACTGGCCTTTTGTGTTGCACCTGGTGGAGAACTGGAGAGAAGAGGGCGCCCTCTGCTGGGGGTACCTGTAGTGGGAGGATTTTGTGGAATTCTTTAGCCACGTGGAATTGAAGCTCACAGAGGTAATCCAGAGCACCTTCCCTTGAAGAAGGAAGGAATTTCCTGTGAAAGGGATCATTTCTATGTATGGATGGATGGATGGATGTATTTTTTTTTTGCCCCTTTTGAACCTCTTTGTGCAATTTGATTTTCCAGAGGGACATCTTTTTTCTTTTTTTAAAAAAATTAAATCTAGAGCCTGCCCGGTGGCGCACTGCTACAGTGCACCGCTTGGGAGTGCGGCAGTGCTCCCGCCGAGGGTTTGGATCCCACATACAGACCGGTTCCCACTCACTGGCTGAGCGAGGTGCAGGCGCAACACTGAGGGTTGCAATCCCGTTGCCGGACACGAAAAAAGACAAAAAGGAAAAAAAAAATTAAATCTAGTTGGCAGGGAAAAATTGGGGGTTCATATATCTGCAGGGAAGAGGTGGACATCATTGTGGAGTCTCTTCCAAACCTGGGAGTGGTAATGGTTTCAGTAAACTGATGCCTCTCACACCACTCCTTTCATGTCCCGTCCCCCATTGCTGGAAGCTATGGAGAGTAAGAATTATGAGAAAGAATCTAAAAACTAAAAACGGGGTGCTCCTAGCACTCTCCTTTCAGTGTGCGGGTAGTTAGGAGTGTGGCTAAGTAGAAACTAGAAAGAAGAGGTGGTGCTGGAGACCCAAAAGCAGTTAGTTGCTTTAGAAAGGGAGTCTGAGAAGAATAAATTTGGAGGGCCCAGCATGGAGGGCAGACGGGCGGGAGGGCTGGGCTTGTGGTACTAGAGAGACTGGCCTCCGGGATCAGAGGGATGGTGTCAAAGTTCCTTAAGCTGATGTGTCTAGATTTAAAGTAGACTGGAAAGCCACAATTCAGAAGGAGCCACTAAGTATTTAAGGGATGAGGATCTAATGAGGATGTACTTTGGGCACTTGTCTAGGAACTACTATTTAATAGTAGACCCAGTGGTGAGCTGAAGAGATGGTATTATCGATCATGGGAAACGATTTTTAACTAAGAAAATTTTGTGGGAAGGAAAGTGCTGGATAATTCTGTCCTGTCAGACCTCTGTGAACCAGCTTTGTTAGTTCTCTTGAGAGGAATCCTCCTTTGAGATGGGCGGAGGGCTCTGGGTGTTCTCTTCAGCCCACACACGAGGGCTAAAGGGATGACTGAGGAAGCACCTGTAAGGTGTGGTCTGGCCCAGGGCAGGCAGGGGTGGCTGGATAGCAAGAGTGTGAAGTCAGAGTTTAGTTGACTTTTGGTTGGAGCAGCAGTAGAAAGAGCTTTTATGGCCTTTAGAATCCCACATGTGTGGGGCCGGCCCGGTGGCGCACTGCTACAGTGCGCCGCTTGGAAGTGTGGCGGTACTCCCGCCGAGGGTTCGGATCCCACATGCAGACCGGCCGCTCACTGGCTGAGCGAGGAGCGGGGGCAACACCGAGGGTTGCGATCCCGTTGCCGGTCCCGGTCCGGTACGGGCATGACACTGAGGGTTGCGATCCATTGCCGGTCA